TATCGCCTCGGATTCACTTCTCCGCACGTCCTACCTTCCAGAAAGTGGTCGCTTTTCTGATGAGAGAGTTGTTGCTCTTCTTTTCTTCGATCTCCTGTTGAGTTTGTATGTGTTCCGAATGGTTTGATCCCTATCCAGCTGAATTCCTGAGAGGAGACGAAATCCAGGTCTCCTACTCCTCTGCCATCTTGCTCCGCCCCCCCAGTTATTTCCCTTTTTAAGGAAGTATTCCCTATCCTAAATTCATGAAGATTTTTTCCTCTGCCTGCTTCTCATTTCTTTGTATGTCAGTACTGATCAGTCATCAATGCTTCCTGCTCCTCTTACCAAGATTTAATCAGGTTGCTCTCAAAACTGCAGCTGGGAAATACTCTGCTCTTTGAGACTAAAACCTAGAAGATAATTTTGCTAATCTTCTACTTTAAATTTAAATAACATTTGAGAATTTTTCCTCAATTCCACATAAAAGAGAACATGGCATTTTAGGATATGTCGTAGGAGAGAGTGCTGTAGATAAGGACTCTGAGGTATTGCACATATTGTGTTATAAAGATTCATTAATTCTAAGGACATTTATTAGAAGATCATATTTATTTCAACTTGGGTTTAGATGCCAGTGTCAGCTCTGCTGGTGATACTCAGTGTAAAGTATGTGTGTAAGGACCGCCTGCAGATTTATGTTCCTCTTCTCCCTGTGTATTGACTTAACACTGATACCTTTTCTCAGCATTTCCATATTTGTGCTTTAAGAAATATTAATATGTGTTTTGAAAGAAAGAGTACCATGATCACACAACTTTGAAAAATGTCACATCATGACAATCTTACCCTATACATCACCACTTTAAATACTGTTGTTACTGCAGCAAAAAATCTACTTAACTTTGTTTAACCAGTACTTTTTATCTGAAACACTATTCCCCAAACAAAATATCTATTAAAACCAGAATGAAAAATAACTTCTCTAATATTTTTGAAAGGGTGATATGAAATTGAATAATGTACTATGACCCAGATCCAAACGATGGCACGCATTATTGATCACGGTGCCAGAAAAAGAATCTTCTCTGATGGCCCATAATAACCATGCCTTAGATGTGCAACGAACATCTCTGTGAATCCTTGGCTGACTACATTTGCAGTAGGAAAAGGAGGACCAGGATAATCAGAGACCCCAGCCCAGTTAGAGAGCTTGGCATCACATGGCCTTCATGCGTGGGGGGAGGCGGTCCCACAGACGACAGAGCATTTATGGAAGGCTTGCGGTATTCTGGATGCGTTTTCATCTAAGTCATCTGATTTCAGTCCTCGCATAATAGTACAGACTTGGTTGTTACTGTACCTGTTTTACAAATGAGGAAGCTAGAACTAAGAATTGACCACTTACCCCAAATCCCAAAGTCAATCAATGGCTGAGAATGTATTTGCCCTTGGAATCTTTCTGCCCTTCTTTACTTTCTGTCAGGCAGAGATCACTGTGATAACATATTCATTATATACAGTTATCCATATGTTAGGGATGATCAAACTGAGTTAAGTTAGTAATTTTTCCGAAGTTAAACATTCAGCAAGTGACAGAAATAGGACGTGAGGTCAGGAGATTATTAGAAATAAAGTGGAAGCGGGCGCCTGGGTGGCTCAGTTGGTTAAGCGACTGCCTTCGGCTCAGGTCATGATCCTGGAGTCCCTGGATCGAGTCCCGCATCGGGCTCCCTGCTCGGCAGGGAGTCTGCTTCTCCCTCTGACCCTCCCCCCTCTCATGTGCTCTCTCTCATTCTCTCTCTCTCAAATAAATAAATAAAATCTTTAAAAAAAAAAAAAAAGAAAGAAAGTGGAAGCTCTTCCCATATTTAGGGCTATCTGTGCATCAAAGGTGTGGTTCTTAGTGTGGGCCCTCTTTCGCTCTATGGCTTCTGATGCAGCCTATCAGGTGACCCAGCTAGCTTTCTCAACTCAACGTTAAGTGATCAGTAAAACCGTGTGGGGTCACAGTCTTGGTCTAAGCCAGTGTCAGAGTGAAAAGTTACAACTTGTCACTTATGAGGTATTTAGAAACAGACAGTAGAAGGGTTGCTGCTAGGCGTTAGGGGAGGGGAAAATGGAGAGGTGTTTAATGAATATAGACTTGCAGCTTTTCCCCAGATGAGAAAGTTCTGGAAGTTAGTTGTACAACAACGTGAATATACTTCACAGTGTTGAACTGTACACTTAAGAATGGTTAAGATGGTACATTTTATGTGTATTTTGCCACGATTAGAAACAAATTATAAGAAGGAAAAAGAGTCTTTTTGAAAATGTATCCTCCATGTAAAATTAACTGATGTGGCAGTTGAGGAAACTGTTGCCTATTAACTTATTCTTTCTTCACAGTGATCTGCAGCCCTGGGTCTTACAACCCCCGTGATGGAAACCATTGCCTTCAATGCAATAGCAGCCTGGCGTTTGGAGCAAAAGCATGCTTATAGGCCATGAGTTTGAGATCTCTAGTGGTTTGTTAAACACAAAAGTATATTTTTGAAATATTAATACATAATAAATCACTATTATGCCAAAATTAAATATATTAGATTTTACAAAATACGGTGTCATCATTTTAATTGAAACATTGCATGTCCAAATGCTTTACGAATGGAGCACCCACTGATCTTTGTACATTAATGCCAGAACTACGTATGACTTCAGAATATTTCTTAGATCACTGTTTTTTAAAAAGGGTTTCAAATATACTCTATTGGTGTTAGCCCAGAAGATTTTTCAGGATTATATTAAAACAGCCCATTCTCTTTTCAGTATGTTGACTAATCTCAGGCCACCATATTCTTCCATAATCATTTTAATTCTAGCTTGTTTCCTTCCTTTGATTCTATGAGGTTTTATTTCTTCTAGTGTGACCTTTCATAGTTGAAGGTCACTTTTTGAGAAGCCTGTGCATCTTATGGTTGCAACTTTTAGCCACTTCAGTGTAAGGCCAGGTCCCAGCAACTCGATGGGTTTGTAATGTAGTTCAGGGTGGCAGTCTTCCCCTTTTTGGTTTGGAGGCCTTTAAATTACCTTTCTGACATTCTGGAGTGGACTAACCATTGTATGTGCCTCAATTAACCTTTCAACTTTCACAGTGTGGACAGAGAGAGAAATTAGGCAGTTTCTTGCCCTGATGACACCTCCAGGGAAAAGTACCAAACGATCACCGTATCTTTCATTGCTTTCCTTTCTCATTAAAGTGTGACATCACAGATACTTCTGCTGCCAGCACTGCACCCCCTCTCACACTGGGGTGCTGTTTGAATACGAAAAATTACCCAAAACCTCAGGGCTTAAGTACCCGAAAAATGCACGAGCAACTTACAGAAGTAGTAGTTTCTCAATTGTTTTATTGTTTCATTTGTGTTTGTAACACTTTATATTCTCTTGGACATTCCCTGTTTTTTTCCCTTCATGTTTCCTTTCTTAAGACATAAACATTTGTAAATGGCAAATATACACAGGTGGGATCTAGGCACAACTGTGCATTGACAGGGAAAAAGTTTACTTGTATCTAGGATCTATCTGACTTTTTAAAATTGACCAGTAGTAAATTAGTCTCTCGTTTGGTCATGCTGTGGACAAATACTACCCTGGGATTCTCACATAAGTACAAAGGGAAGTGAAACGACGTTTCTTTGTTAGCCTTGGTGATCTTTTTTAAAAAATTCCTTGTGACTCATAATCATGACGTAATTGTTTTCATGTGGTTTTTAGAGGTTTTTTTCTTTAAAAATCTTTGCTGTAGTAAGTCACATGTTTGCCATTATACTGTTTGGGTGGGCTATGGTTCTTACAGTACCTGTCTTCTGTAACTAGTAAAAGACCTCCTAAGTCTCCATCTCTAAAAGCAGTGCAGCCTGTAAAGCTTTCTGGATTTCTTAATTGTGTAATAAGATGAACTGAAATACGTCTTCTTTAGTACTGCCTGAGTTTGGATTAACTTTTTTCCTGGTATTTAAAAATGCTGAGGAACTTAACTTACGAAACATTTTCCTAGGGATGCACAGTATCAGCTCAATAGCTAGTCAGCCTGGGGAAGCAGAGCAGAGTTACAGTGGTGATGCAATACTGGAGACCGGAATCCAGTCCAGGAGAGAAGGTGGTCTGGGGTAAGAGTAGACAGACAATAGGGGAGTCGTGGGAGTGAGGCATGGAAGTGTCCTATGAGTGTAAATACCTACTTCAGTAATTAAGGTAACTGCTTCCTCTGTTAACAGATAATGTAGACTGTTGGAAATTGTTTTAAGTGATGACAGTGTGTAGGGTAAAAATTACAAACTAATCCCTGAGAGAGATTATTGTCATAATGCAGTGTTTCAAGTGTTTGTTATTTTTGAATAATATCTTACATTTATATAATGCCTTAATTTTAACAAAGCATTTTTTAACATTAAAACAATGTGATGTTTACATCAACCTGCAAAGCTAGGGCAAATATGATTCCCATTTTATATTTTTTTCTTACTGTAAGTGTGTAAATACGTATTCATTTGGCAATATGTAAAAAGAGCCTCAACAGGGTTGACCCAGGAATGTCACTTACAGGAAACTATCTTAAGAAAGTAAATCAGAAATCAGGTGGAATGTCATGCCCAATGGTATTGACATCCACATTCTGTATAACAGTGAAAATGGAATTAACATCGATGACCTACGAGAGTGAAGTGGTTGAATAAATTGTGCTATTTCCATAGGATAGAATGTTCTGTACTATTCCTTAGAGTTTTGAATCAAATGAACAGTTGTTTTATGTAACAGGATCATGTGGGAGGTTTTTTTGGTATCCTCTGTTTCTCAAACTTCCTACAAAGAAACAAATTACTTTCAAAATCTTGGAAGCAATAAACATACTTGGAAAAATTAAAATAGTCACATTTGGCAGAGGACATTATTGCTCACCTCTCCAGTATGAGTTCGCTTCTGCCCTTCTTCCCAGCAGAGCACCAAGTTTGTTTACTCCAGAGACAGTCCTTCTGGCAACTGCTGTGTTGAAACCGCGGACCAACTTGAGGACACCGAGTGGAGATGTCCAAAGAATCAGTGCCTCGATGATGGAGTTGAACCACTGCCCGGCTTGTATGGGAGCCCCGGCCTGCTCTGGACTTGCCCATTTGTGTGAGATGAGAACACGCCTTGTGTCACAGCAAGCTAGGTTTTCTGTTAACCTGGAGCTACAAGGATCCTAACTGATAGAGTATTCATTACAGTAGCGGGGAGTACCGCTTACAGTTTCAGAACCCAGATGTCAGCAATGCTAACATTTCCTGTTTTGGGGTGAGCGTTTTATGCATGTTACAGATACAGTATTTCCCTTAATATTATGGTGTTTTTTCCACGCTATTTTTTTTTTCACTTCGTTAACATCATTTTAATTACTGTAATATTTGGTACACTTTAGCAAAATTAATATGGCTAAGTATTTCTACTTTGTGGGTGTGTCTATTGCTTTCCAAAGCCTCGTTGTTAACATACAGCATGACAGCTAACATTTTCTTTGTTAATACTCTGGTATTTTGAAGTCTTCTCTATGCTAAATAGCCAGAAGTAGAATGCCAGATTTGGGTATTTCTAATCCTCTGGACCATTTGCCAGTCTCCTTCCTAAAAAAGGTACCAATTTATACTCCCACCAGTAATATATCCAAGTACACACTTCACTGCACCCTCTCTGACAGCATTTCTTAAATCGCTATTTTGATACATGGAACAGTTTCCCGTATATTAATTATGTTGCGCATGGGTGAGGGCTTTCCTCATAGAGCAGTCCTGCTATTGCTGGTAATCGCTTATTTACCAACTCCACACTATGTGAGAGGTTTTCTCTGAAATCCTTCATGTAGATTTTCATATTTAATATTCCCACCTCTGTGGCTTATTACTACTATTCTCGTTTTACGTATGAGAAAAATGAGTCACAGTGATTCTGTAACTCTCCCAGCTTACCCAGCTGGTAAGTGTGAAGATGTGTGCCAGTCTTCACTGGGTTCTGCTGCAAGTCACCGAGAGTCCCGACTCGGTGGTTTCTCTTCTCTCTCAAGTCCAGCAAGGTCAGCTTAGAGATGCCACAGTGAGGGCGCTGTGCTGTCGTCCCCTCGGGCCGCTCGCCCTTTGTGTGCCCCCCCTTAGTGCAGCTTTTGTCCTCACGGTTGCTGGTGGCCGATGTGCCTCTAGGCCTTGAGTTTACCTTCCGTTCAGAAACAAAAGATGAAAATGAAAGCCCGATACAAGACTTCTAAATTACACTGAATGGAATAATGTCACAAGGGCCCCAAGAGGGGGCTGATGTATTCAGGTTTTGTTCTCATTAATAGAAAAAAGGAATAAAAGACATGGACTTGGGTGCTAGTGGGTCAATGTCTTTTTCTCATACAGATCATCCCTTTAACTGGGCTGCGTCAATGCGCACCCTTCACATCATTGGTTCTACATGTGCTATGCTCAATTCCTCCCCCAGGTAGTACAGCCTCAAGCTCTCATCCAGTTACTGCATCCAGGTTGAAATTTACACTCATGGGTGATGTATAGAAGCTTACACGAGGTCCAGGGCCCTGGGGTCTAGACAGTTCGTTTGCCTCCAGCCTTCCAACCTTCGCAATATAAAATGGGTGAGAAGGAAGGGACTAATTAAAAATATCCATTCAGAAAAGAGAGGAAAGAGAAACATCCCAGTCACCTATTCAGGTGGACAAGATACACTGAGATCCTCCCACCATCAAACTGGTTTAAATTCTTTGATTTGATTTTGGTTCTAACCTGTGGTTATCCTTCTTATCCATTCCATTCCACTTTCTGATTTCAGTTCCCTCTCTACTAGAAGTCAGGGACCCAGGACACTCAGGCTGACGTCAGATTTCAGTATCCAAGGGGCCACTGTGTTGAGTTCTTTTAGGTTTGTGTCATCATGGTCAGGTGTGGTGACAAGATGCAGGGGTGCCTCAAGGGCTCGGCTTGTCCCCACTCTGCTCTGCCTGCATCTCGCCCTGGGATGGCTGGCTCTGCTAGCCACCAGTGACCTCAGGCATGCCGCCCACTGCTCGGTGTACACAGGAGGCGCTTGCCCAGACGTCTCGCTTTCCACAGATCTGTCTTCTTACAGATGTAGAGACAAGATGGATTCAGTTGTTGGTGTAGTTCACAGCTTTCAGTGGAAGAATATCATTTAAATTAACACTTATTATACCCAGGGTCAAGTGCCTGTAGAAGACAAGGCTTTGGCCTCTAAGCAGCAGGTGAAATAATACATTTTAATGAAGACAATAAAGTGTAAGGACCAGGTGAAAGAAAATGGTGAGTTGAGGGCTTTGGAGAACCAGTCATGAAAGTAGCTCTTTTTTCCTGTGGCCACACAGATTTCTGGTTAGTTCTAATCAGATGGTGGGCTGATTTACCAAGCAACTTGAATTCACAACCTAATGATGTTTCTCATGCTAGAGATAAGACATGGATTGGGAGAGAGTAAGACCATCCAAATTGAGATGAGGGCCTAGGGACGATCCCGGTGAAGCCGGGCACATTAAACCCAACATTGGACCAGGCTGCTTTTCCAGTAGAATCAGCCCTCGCACCCCTGAGGAGGTTAGTCTTCCCTTTGTGTGAAGAACCTGTTGTCTCTCCTAAAAGAGTTGTCTCACCTCCTTCCCAAAGCCATCCTCATGATTTTTCATTGCTTCTCAACCTATACTTAAACTTGAATCCTGGCAGTGCCCAGTGAATAGCCAGTTTATATCAGAAGATATCTGAGATATACATGCTGTGTCAGACACACCCTATGGGACCCTGTCCCCAGTGAGTTGTCTCTTGTAGAATTCTGTCTGGAGTGAGGTAAGCACCTGCCTTGACTTTAGACAACAGAAGATGTCAAAGGTGCGATGGTCCCTTGTATGATTCCCTTACGTTATATAAGACTTTGTGTTAGCAGACCGGAGCAAGAGATTCTCCGGCTGGCACTGGAGAAATGAGCTGCCATGTTGTGACAGGAGCTGTAAGAGGACCAAGAGGCAAGTACCTGCGGGGAGCTCTGCACATGGAGAGCAGCCCCTGCTGTCAGCTAACACACATCAGGGCCTCAGTTTTACAAGTGCAGGGAACTGAGCTCTGCCAACAGCCACATGAGCTTAGAAAAGGTGTCCATACTCAGAGCAGAACCCAGCCCAGCTAACACCTTGACGAAAGCAGTGTCCTGCACAGAGGACCCAGCTAAGCCACGCTCAGACTCCTCACCTGCAGAAAACTGAGAGAATGAATGGGTGTTGTTTCAGGTCACAAAATTTGTGGTAATTTGTTACACAGCAATAGAAAACTTACAACTGATACATATGGGAGTAGATCCCAGGGATACTCGGAATGGAAGGAAAGTAATGTTGGATTGGACTGAATTTACTGAAATGGATAGCATTATCAGTGGTCTGGATTCAGTGTATTAGCTTGAGCAAGCAGCTAAGAACAGCACTAACAGAGTGTGCTCATCTGATTGACTTTGAAACCTGTCAATCAACCTGAATCCAGCAGTGGATTATGCATCAATGGAATTGATGAGGCTGTAATTACTTGGCATGCTGAATAAGGTATCCAAAGGCTGAGGAGACTGGAATGCTGAAATGGATTTTCTATGTAATAACTGCTTGCCCATTCCCCTATTTCTGGCCCCTGACAGGTCTAGAGGCCTAGAAACTCCTTTTACCAGAGCTTGGAGGAGTTCTTGGTGAATGGAATGCTGGCTTTCTCGAAATCTCATAATGGAAGCTCTCTGTGATCCCGTAATGGGAATTGGGATGCTGTCATTGAAATGGACTGCACCAGTCTAATGGGGATGATGGCATCTAGTAGTTGTGTCAACAGGAGGTCAAAGACAGGTGGGCATCAGGGCTGAAGCAGTAATCAGAACAATTCAATCCACAGGGATCTTCGGCATGGGCCTGTTGCTCATGGTGTCCCTAGCACTGAGAGAAAAGGATGGCAGTCCGGACCACCATTGTTTTAGAATCTAAGTTTATTTGTTAAGAGCTCCAGGCCTGTTTCAAAGGAGCCCGATTTAAGTCACAACAGTTGAGTCACGACTTCTTAGCTAATTTTATGAGAATTGAATCACAGGCCCAAAGATGTTTATACCTTGAACAGGGTGAGGCGAGGGCTGCTCATTGGCAACTCTTGAGGAAGGATCCACTACTCTGCCAAATATTTATCCTTGCAAGTCTTTCTGGCCGTCCCTAATGAGACCCACAGCCGTCGGGTAGGGGGACTGCATAAAGGGTTATGAAAACTAGCAACTATTTTGGAGATTACTGGACTCCGGCTCTCACCTGATGCTCCTGACCCAAAATGCCTCTATGCTTAGGGTACAGACTAATCAAGGAGCTTAGGGCCAGGGTCATCTCACTGTGGCTTGGATGGACCTCCTGGCCCACAGTGAGTTCCAGAATGCATAGTTGGGAGAGCAGCTGGACATACTCCTCTTTTTGGTTCCATGAACTGTGCAATTGTCACTATTTTAAGAAAGGCTCAGTGAAAGCCCCTAGAACTATGCCCACCGACCAAAACAATAAGCCAAAGCAATATTGCATTTCTGGGGGGATTGCGGAGACTAACGGCATTGTCAAAGGCTAGAAGGAGGAAAGCATAGTGATTCCTACCACGTCACTGTATATCCCGTCTCTGGCCTCTGCAAAAGATAGGTATGGACCTCAGAGAATGACCGTCCAACTTGTCCAGGTGGGATTCCACTTACAACTTCTTTTACATATACTGTTTATTTGCTAGAATAAATTTAAAGAGTCCTCAGCATATGGAATGCAGCTGCGGATCTGGTGAATAGTTTCTTCTCTATACTTTAAGGTAGAGACCACCAGGAGCAGTTTGTTTTCTGCTGCCTGGCCAGAAGCACACTTTCACTGTCCTACTGCAGGGCTGTGTTGTATTCCAGCCTCTGTCATAACCTTGTCTGTGGGTAATTTCACCGTTTGTCCATTTTGTGGTGCACATGCTGATCTACCACGTTAAAGGCACCATTGTAAGTATCCAGTACACAGGAGTTACCAAATTCTTCACACAACTTTGTGAGGCGTATGCATGGCAGAGGGCTGGATGTAAGCCCCCACAAAAATTCAGGAGCCTGCCACCTTGGTAAAAATTCTAGGGGTCCTGTGATCTGGGGTATGTTGATATCCTTCCATGATAATGGACGAATTTCTTTATCTGGCTTCTTCCACAAATAAAGAAGCGCATTGCCTAAGAGGGGAGTTTTCTGGGGTTCGAAGACAGCATTTATTTCAACTGAGTGTTGTTTCTGCTCGTTTACTAAGTAACATGAGGGGCCACCAGTATTGAATGAGGCTCAGAGCAAGAGACCGCCCTGCAACCATTGCAGCCGCCGCAGAAGCTGCTCCCCGTATGGGCAACGTGACCTAGCCAGTCCGAGCACACCGGGAATGTCGCAGCAGATGAGGTAGTGTGTGCAGTCTTGGGCAGGTTGCTGGAGGTGAGGTGAATCACACTGTGAACTTTGGGAAGCTGGGCATGCACAGCAGCACTCTGTCAGCCAGTGGGAGTGATGCACAGGTGTGTGTGAGCTGGGCTCAGTTGCAGAGAGAGTGGCTCGGACTCTCATGGTTCCTAGTCCTGCCTTCTCACTTCACCCTGCACCTGTGACTTCATGTGGTATTCTCCATCCCAAATTTACTGGGGGAGAAAAGGTTTGACCCTAATTTATCGTGCACCATATTTTGGCAGCATCCAAAAGTGGACAGCTACAGTTACACTCACAGGGGTGATCCTGAAGGGGAGTGGTAAAGGGGGATCTTCTCCATAGGTAGAACTTTGAGCAGTGTACCTATTTTTACACTTTGTCAGGAATGGGAGATGACTGGATGTGTAGGTCTGTGTAGATTTTTAAGGAGCAGTAAGTCAGCAGCAGTTTAGCCCACTGATCAGACACTTGGAAGCAACAAGATTAGAAATTTGGTGACAGAGTGTTAGAAAATGTGTATGATCTCTCCAAATGAGCACAAAGTGTGAAGGAATGCACACTAAAGAGAAATTCAGCAGAGAACCTTAATAATCCAGTGGGCACGATGACCCATCCATGGATAATGGTCAGCTTCTCTCTTCCTTGCCAGTAGGCTCATGAACGAAGTGGTCACGGTGACAAAGATGGAGAGTCTGCCGGCTACTAAGTAACAAGCCGGCTACAACCACCTCTGAGCTCCTGACCTTCCAACAGCAGAGTCCAGCTATGAGCCCCCAACGTGGCAATGTTTACCAGAGAGACAGCCAGCCACCCGAATGGCAGGTTG